GAATCTTGCAAACATATGACCCTGGGAGGGAGAAAAGAGAGGAAATCACCACAAGACAGTCGGTCACAGAGGATTTAACACAGGAACACAGTGAAGTCAAATCAGTGGCGGAGTGAGTCCATAACATCAAACAACAAACACCGGCTGCTCAGAATGACAGGTTCTCTTCAGCATGTGTAATAGAGGCACAAGGTTTTAGTCTGACTTCTTAAACCGTGAACTAAAATTTCATTACGTTATTCAGCACTACTGCACTACGATGGAGCAGAGAGGAGGATGAGGAGGGTGAAGGTCGTGAGGAGATGAGAGGAGATGGTTTGGAGGGGGGCGCTGTGACACGGCAGCAAAGGTTCAGTCTCTATCATTCCATACTGAGTCTCATGTAAGCGGATGAGCAGGATTGTCTTCTTTAGATCAGGGTCAGTTATGGAGTTATTTAATTCAAGCATGTCATTTTCTCATGAGCAAAATCTATTACATCAGCACAGTCACTGCCAATGGTAAATAAACTAGAAGACAAACTTGTGCTGACGTGATGTATTTTATTCACATGAAAAATGACATTTAAAGTAAGTAAATTCAACAAAGCAAAACTTTTTCTGACTTCACGGTTTACATAAGTGACGTACATCTCTATTAATGCACACTGATGGTGCCAAGTGCACTACTTCACTCAAAGCACCTTGTTTAGACAACAACCCAACCCAGAGAAATTCAAATTTTGACAACAGACCTATCATAATCCTGACGTTTCGACTTAAATCTTATCACAATTGACCTGAACACACTCCTGCCAGGCTGGACATGCATTATACACAGCAAAATATTGTATCATGGCAAGTAAAATCATCTAAAATTTAGTCAACATATGTAATATTTCATTTTTTACCTGTTTTAAATGGTCTTAGTCTATACTGGCAGATTATTTTGTTTATTTAAAGCACTGTTTCTTGAAACCAGCAAAACTATCTACCAACAGAATGAAACAATTTCACTCGAGTGCTTTCTTAAAACAAGCTAAATGACTTTAAACAAGGTAAAATGTCCAGAAATAAGATGAACAAATGTATAAAATTCTTACAACAATCTCAAAATGGGAAATGCCGCTGTCCAAAAAAAAAAGGATCTAATTTTTTGTGATTTTTATGCGATTCTTCATAATTTGAGCTCAGCAGCTGTCCTTTACAATATGTACAAATTTCATGATAATTGGACCAACAGAATGGTCCAAACTTTAGAGATACTTCTTTGGACAGCGATGATATATTGACTAGATTTATGACGTTTTCACTTGCCAAGATAATATTTTTTGCAGTAAAGAACTTCAACCAAATGAGAAAAACATGCAACGGCCACGTTTCTGTCAAAATATCTACATTTGGAAAGCTCTTAGGAATAAAGTCTTTTTCTCGTGTAATCGAGCTAACATTAGCTTAGCGGAAAGAGTTGTTCTTCCCATTTCCTACTAAACACACCCTGCCTAATACTGAGTTGCGTGCTGCAGTATTATTAGGTGGAATAGAACTTTAAAGCTTGTCCAACTTAGCAGCAGTAGCTATGGAAGCAAACATTTGTGGCCAGAGCACGGACAGGTCAATTCATACGCCTGATAGGCTGCTAAGCATTTTCTCTTGAGGGTAAACTCAGTGGCCCTGCCCTTCAGATCAACCTCCTCACTAAAGAGATCTAAGAAGACCACCTTCAACCACTGCCTGGGTTTGATTTTAATGCTGCTGAACTGGCAAAATGAAACAGCAGTCTGGAGCTTGGCTTTGCAGAGCTGTACTCTCTCTAAGGTGGGCCTCGCAACATTAGCATTAACATTCAGACAGAAACTTCTCATTTGAAGTGTTTTCCTGAGAGCAACCCAAACCCTCTCTCACCCCTAAACATTTCCCCAAACCCCTCACACACTTCAATGAGGTTCTTTTGTCCCCGAAAGTGCTGAACACACTGTATATGACAGCAACATTGATCCGCAGTCCAATGAGGCTGGCGCTAGTGAACATCTTCAGCAAAATCACTTATCGGATTTCTTTTTGCTCTCCACAGCTTGAGCACACAATGCTTCATCAACTGAAAACCCCTCTGGATTCTCCCTGTGAAACCGGTGTTATTCGGTAGAGACTGCTTTTTGAGTGTGGGAATGGTTGGGACTGAACGTCTGAGCTGATCTCCATGACGATGACTACATGAGGCCTATATCATGGCACGAGACCAGAGGAGAGGACGATTAAAAATGATTAGAGATGGACGCTGACTCTTTTCAAAGTAGCAAAAACAGTAAAGCAAAAACTTGAACCAGTGGACGTATATAAAAGTGACTGGCACTAGACTAGAGCATATTCTGAAAATACACTAACCAATGAGACGGAAGGTAAATCTAGGAGAAAGACAGCTTCTTGAAGGAAATAGGAAAAAAGAGACTAAAATAGCATATTTTTCATATTTTTCCTTTAGTCATATTCATTGACAGCTTTAGTAGGTGAGTATGGAGGAGCATGCAGTTTATAGTCTGTGGTTATTGTACATCAGCGATATTCAAAGGGCTCTGACAGACAGCAAAGGCTACTGGTGTTGAGAGAAGAAAATCCAAACAATTATAAACAATTGTAGTATTTGCTATTCAGAGGAGCAATATAATACAGGATTTCACAGGCACTACAATTGATCTTTTTAAATATATTAGTTAAAATGCTGGTTTGCTTTCATTTTTCATTTTTCTTTGATTTCATTACAACTTTAACTGAAAAAAAAAATACATCAGAAAAAAAGGTAAAGGCTCAAGTTGAAGGTAGATACCAGACGTATTTGACGACTTTGTCTAGAATAGCGTTTCGTTTCATTTCATCAGTGCATAGTTGTCATGCAGATAAGACTGCGAGGCGTTCAGAAAGCAGGATCACTCGCGATGGTCTTGAGTCTAGTTAGTCTCCATCTTATCAACCAAAGTAGCACCAACAATTTCTCGAAAGAAGACAAACGTCTTTTGTTAGAGATTAGCAGAGCTGTTGGCTAGTGATAGAGCCGGAGCGGCTAAGCTACCTGCCCTCAGTGCCTGCCAGGGCTAAAACTGTTCCACGCTACCTAACCTAGCCATAGGCCTTTATACAGAAGGTGACCCAGCCATGCTCTGCCTGCAAATGTGTTCTTTCGTAGCATTTGTTGCTAAGCTTGAGAAGCTTGGAAAAAATCCCACTAAACCTAATGAGAAATTCTAAATCTCTGCTCATTTAAAATGATATTTATCTTGTATGCGAGTAAAAGGTCACATTATACGTACAGATTGGATGTAGCTTCTTTGATTAGCTACAACAACACAGCCCAGCTTGTTAGCGTAGCATACTCAACAATATGGAGTGAATCTTAACTCCAATTTAAACTGATCTGAATGGGATTTTTGTCAAACATTCTGTCCTAATGTTCTATCCAACCTACAAAAGAACACATTTGAGGGTGGAACATGGGTCAATTACGTCTTCAGAGGGACTTCATAGACACGCACTGGCCATTTTATAGTCCCTATCCAATCATGAAGCCGTAAGAAATCAGAAATCAGTGAATCGACATGATGTGAGAAGGTTGTTAGTAAGCGTTTAAGTGTTGATTGTCCACGAGTTAAGGGGAGCTTTACACACCCACATGCACTTTCCCATGCACTGCCAGGTACAGTGTGACTGAAGCCCAGGACAAGTCCTCCAAAAAACAAAATTTGGGGATGAAATTACAGCGATTCATTGATTATATCCATTCTGGGCTTATATTTTTGGTATGTTACGCTTGATGTACTGTGATTGAACCTTACCCTGATAGTAGTCAAATATGATACTAGCCTTCCAAGCTCTGCCAATTTTAACTTAAAATTACTCAAAGCTTTATTTTCCTCCAAATAAACATGGGGAAACACTTCATCACGCCCACAAGAATGGGGACAAATGAATGATGACAAAGGCCTGCTATGCAATGTCATTCAACCCTGTTTCATGGGTGGCAGAGCTTCAAAGATTAAATATATATAAAAAAAATTAAATGGCCATAAATTGTATATTTAATAATTGAAAATCGAAGGTAATGGAACAATGCTGGGAAGACTCTCTGCGGTGTATTCAGCAGCACACCCAGCAGTCAGAAAAGCCGTTTGAGTTTTCCCTCCTACCGCAAGTTCATCAGGAATAACTGAAGGGGCATAAACCAGGTGCTGACTGTAGCTATAAGATGTTTTGATGCAAAGCTGTTTGTTAAAGTTCAATTTCCCAACCCAAGTTTTCTAAAATGGTCAATCGCAGCAGTATCTTGTTTGACTCAAAAGTAAACTATTATGAAGAAGAGCCATATAATCCTAACATGAGCATGTGTTTTATATCTAACACAGACAGTGGAATGAGAAACTGATTTGAAAATGCTGTACTGATGGAAATGCTGTATGTGTGTATGCAGTTGCGGTGCGGTGAGGTGGTGATGGCAGATGTAAAAATGTTCTTAAGTCTGCAGCGCGGAAAAACATCTGGACACCATTCTGGTGCGTACGTAATTCAGACTTAAGGCTGTTTGGATCGTTGTGGCTAACTTTTCTGTCCTTTTGCAAAGCAATTATCCGTCTAGTGATCTGCCTATGCAGATTTATCCGCATCATCTGTCTTCATTGGCCTAGCTGACCCACAGGCTTTACACTGCGTTATTAAATATTATAAATTGGATTAAATTATTAAATGAAGGATTGCTAATCTTGGCTGAGCTGAACGCTTTTCTATGGGTGTTTTCTATTAAAAGAGGAAAAGCTCTGTTTTTTCTCTCCTTCAATCAATGTGTAATGACGATAACTGAATATCGGATAAGACTGTGTGTGTAGAGTCAATAAGTAGTCCTGCTGCAGTGTGTGGTGAAATGGAGAGAATGCTTCCCAGCTTGCTGTGACACCATGCTTGGCTAGCAAAGGTGAAAGAGAGAGATAGAGAGAGAAAAAAGGAGGGAGAATTATGCTGAAAAGAAAAAGAATCATGTTGCATATCAAGCTGTTTATTTTCCTGCATGGAATGGTGAACACAAAAAAGATGCCTAGATGCATTTATAATAGGGGCATCCTTTGGCTGTCTATGTCATTGTCTTCTGCCTAAAACTAATTTTAAAATGCATAAAAACGCTCTCTTTTCTTAACCAACATCCTCAGAATTACCTAGATTTAGCTTCATCAACACTGATGCAACAAAGAACCTTCAAAACATACAGCAAGCATACTTGTAACATCCATTTACAATGGGGCTTTCACCTCAATACCTTATACTTTTCAAGTATAGGAATACTCTATACCATCAAAAGAAGAAAAAGTCTTTAAATACATACAAAAAAAGGAAAGCAAAAGAAAAAAAAAGATAAATCAGGAAACAGGAAAGTTTTCAACTTAAATCCAGTTCCCCAGAGAACAAACAAAACCAGTTCTATTAATGTGGCCTTATTACAAACGATGAGAAAATTCACAACACTAGTTTTTCCTCATTTAATCAATGTTACAAAAGTCCTGCATTATAAAATAGGGCAGCTTTAAAATCAGTGTAATTAATAAAACTATACAATATACAAACAACACATCTCCCACACTCAGAGGCTTGTGTCCTCGCTCTCTTCTCTGTCTGAATTCTCCATTCGATTTGTTCAGCTTCTCCCCACAACTCCACTTCTGTACCCCCCTCCGAAAGAAAAAACAAAACCGAAAAAAACCCAAAAACTAAAATTACACACACGACACAAGAACAAAACAGACTGCCCAAACTATTGCTTTTATATTCTTTTTCTCTTTTTTGTCTTTCTTTAAAAAGGGTGCAATTTTGTCATTATCTTACACACGCACAGCCGAATATCTTGCTGATTAGATGCTAGGCTGCTCTAAACAAGGTTTCGTGACAAAAAAAAATGTCCGTGCAATCATATTTTTTCCCTTCGCTCTTGTAAGCCCTGGAAGCTGTTTTTTTTTTCTTTTTGATTTTTTTTTTTAATTCTCACAATTGTCATTATTTCATATTTAGTGCAGATAATTAAGAAAGTAATGCCCAACTCATTACTAAAGGGTAGGCAACAACAATGAAAAACTAATTTGTCACACTAATAAAAAAGAACCCACACAAGTGTAACTACTAAACCATCATATCAGACGTTTGGGATTTTTTTCCCCGAATTCTCTCTGTTAAATGATATATATGAATTAGACAAGAAAACAGGTAAACAGTTTATATAACATGGAAGTTTGTCAAAATGTACATAAAAGTGGGCATATTTATTTTTATCCTGGACATTTTTTATTCCTTGAACTCGTCCTGTATGTTAAAAACATGGTTTGCTGTGACGGAGAGGAAGTTTCCTTGTTTTAAGGCTTGCTTGTGACCAAAACAAAGCAAAAAAGAAAGAAAGAGTGATCCAAATACATGAATAATACATGAATGGTCATTTATGTCAAGCACAAAGAAAGTAGAATACCCCGAACGAGGCTGGCGTGGACGTCAGGAGAGATTTTATCAGACGCTGATGTACGTCCAGCATCCAGCCAGTCAAGTGCAACACTAACTTGGGTAAAAAAAAAAAAATATACAAAAGAAAAAATTATAAAATTAATCACTACATCTACATGAGTGCAAGCAAGTATTGCATATTATTTTTTTCTTATTGTTCTGGTAACGAAAACAGGAAGACTAAAAAAAAAATTAGTTTCAATTTAGAAATTGCAGCAACATCCATAAATATCAATACACTAGTGTTAACACTACTAGAATAAAGGGGGCCTGGGGCTATAACTCTAACGGTTACACTAATAAATGTCTACTTCACAGTACAGCTACTGGGGCCCAATGGGGGATTGACACTGGACTGGACTGACTGAACAGCAGTACAAGACTGAGGCTGGATTTTACAGTCTCGTCCTCACACGGCACCAGGATGTTGCATCATGAGGCCTGGGAGCCTGGGACACAGGCTGATGAGCGGAATAAAAAGGGCAGGTAGTAATCCTCTGTGTTACTGTTAGCAAGGGCTTTTAGCATTAGCATCCACTTCGCTCTCCGATTCCTGAACGCTGTGGGAGACGAATGGGAAAAAGCTGGAAAAGCTGGAAAATAACAATTGCAACTTGTGCATCAACTCAGGACTAGACCATCGCTCAAGGCACATTGATGAGAAACAATTGTTTCCGTGCAATTTGAGAGGAGAAAGTGAAATACATTGCTCTTGATAGGGAAAAAAAAAAAACAAGAATGATTGTTTTGTAAAGGGACAAAAGAAGTGAGGGTCAACATACAGAAAAGAGAAGAAGCGAAGGAGAGTCACAAAGACGTTCAGCTGATTGATTGTGAGGACAGCAGTAAAAATACCCTTCTTTTAAGGGGCCAAACAAATACTCTATTGGCAAGTGCCTGGTGTTGGGATTACAATATTGTGTCTTTATTCACACTACTTTAACTCTACATGATCTAGGTAAAAATTTGTCACTAACACTACAACATGCATTTTTTTTTAAACTTTTTAATTACTTTTTTTTTCATTTTTTAAAATCTGATCAACAGTGGATGAGTCAGTTGTTATGTGTATTATATAAGTACTGTAGGAAGCAAAAGAAAACCAAAAGTCAAATAAAAACAAAGGCGGTTAAACTGCATGCAAACCGAATGAATTAAAAAAGCGCTTTGCTCTCCGGCTGCATTCTTGTCTGATTGTTTTATTTGATCACATTTCTTCATTTCTTTTTTTTTACGTAACACTTTCAAAAAGGTTACGGAGGAAGTTGTCACTGTATCGGCGTCTTAACCCCGGTACTCACTACCAGCCTGCAGTTACACCACGGGCCCAAGAGCTTTTGCCTGAGAAAGGCAGTAGAATAAGGAGCATTCTGTATGTGTAGGGTTAGAGCGCTGCTCTAGGACCAGCTTCTCCCTGTCCACATTTTACTATTTATTAGGATATAAAAGACAAAAACTGACCCCAGATTAGTGTTTCAAACACGCAAGCGTGGGTGTCTATCAGCAATGGGCTAACCAGAGCTTTAACCTTTCTGCAGAAAGCTTGCAATAAGCTGCTGATACGGCTGAATTCTTCTTATGTTATACCCGCCGGCTTTTGCCTGATGAGAAATTAATACTGCTCCTAGACTATGTGCTTCGTTAAAATAAGTTAATTAGCTTAGTGTTTTGGAACGAACTAGCACAGTGGTCTAACTTCAACGCGTCCAGAATGTTTAAAATTGATTGTTTAAATGGCAATATTTCTTAAAGGGATTTTTGTTCTACAATACTAACAAATTTACAAAGATGAACGAACAAACATAAGAAAAACAAAAAGCAAGTACAGCTCCCCTTATTTCTCACAAGGCTATTTGTTCTAGTTTTTTTTGTACCCCGATATTTTAGAGTCCCAGAGGTGTGAACGGACTAGGAAGAAAAAATATATATATATATACTTTTCAACAATCGTTGCAACGATCTATCTTACAAAGATATTTAACAATCCAACAGCTATCCAACAAAATTGCACTTTCCTCAGTTCACAATTCCACTGTTTACCTCCAATCATGGTTGTCTCATGTTTTGTCAGTTAATGGAAGCTCACTCTTTTCTATCCGTCCTTTTTTTCTCTCTATAGTGTTGTACAGACCTGTGGTGTATTAGAAACAACTGAAACAACTTTATACAAAAATGAAATATGAACATGACTCCCATGTGGGAGACCTTTTTTTTCTTTAAACACAAAAATCTCCCATTTGAATACTTCACTTTGTAGCCTTCTGAGCTCATGTTAATTCACCTGGTTGACTGATATAGAACATCATCATCATTATCATCATCTGTGATCCTCCACTCCCTGCCCCGTGACAGAAAACACAAAGGGGTGTGTGTGTGTGTGTGTGTGGTTGGGGGGGGGGTGTTCTTCCTGTATTTGCTGTTTGTCAGCACGTGAAGTCCTCGGAGGGCTTTTTTGGACCGTGTACATGGCGATGAAGGTGGGGATGGGGTGAAGTGACCTGGCCAGAGCAGACTTAATGAGTCAGAGAGAGGCTTTAGCTGGTGCTGTCTGATCCAGGTAAAAAAAAATACCTCTGCATGAAGTCAACCACCAGAACCAGGGTCTTTTTTACCCGAAAATCCAACTCCGTCAGATCCTGACAAGCACGAGTGGGCACAGAAAGTGCCAACAGACTCAATCCAGGATGGTCACAAGCACGAAATTCAGGAAAACTGCACCAAATTCAGAAAATAGTGCTGAAGAGGCTTGGCTGTGGGACCTCCCGGCCATGACGGGTGACTGAGGGAAGCTTTTTGATTGTTTTTCTTCTCTGGCCGAGAGGGCAAACCAAAAACAAAACAAAACAAAAACAGGAAAAAAAAACAAAAACAAAAACACAAAAAAGCAAATCATGCATGTTTCTGAGTAAATCATAGCGCTCCTTCTTTTAAGCTCCGTCTCCAGAAGAGAAAAGAGCTGGACAGTTACTATATATGAATATAGGCATCGAAACCATATATCTGGAGGAATACATGTGGACTATGTAGATATATAGTGTGTTGATTGTAAGCGAGTTGAGTTGACTGGTTTTTGTTTCCAGGGCAGGGCAGGGTTCTGCTGTAGCCATGCTGTGGGTCTGTCGGGTGCTGGGGCAACGAGCGGCTCCTGGCGCGTCACACTGGTGGACATGTTTACGGGTCACACTCAGGGGAGACAGTGGGGTGCAACTGAGCTCGGGAGTGGCCGGTCCGAGTCTGGAGTCTTTAGCCCAGGTACCACTGTGCAGGAGAGAAAGAGAAAGAGAGAGGTTAGGGGAGAAAAGTTGCACATGACACGTGTTCAGGATTTGTACTGCCTGTAGCTTTTGAAGGATCAAAATCATAAACAAAAATGAGAAGTAACATTCAAAGTTAAGTGTAAGTTTGATGTCTATCTGTCTATATATCTATCTATCTAAGAAGTTACAGAAACCAACCAAACAAAACCAATGCTTACAAGACATTTAAATGACACTATGAAATTACAATGCTTAAATGTGCGTATGTAAAAGTGAATACTGACATATTATATAAGTAAAAGTCTTTCTCAGTGGAAGCTTCAAGCTAAGAAAACTTAGTGTCATCCCAACAGTACTATAAAGCTTTGAAAAACTGATCCTCTGCTTGTTTAATAGGCTGGATTACTTTACATGTAGCACTAAGACAAGGGCTTAGGCTTTGGTCTGCACAGCCCAGAACCCCTCCCTCCTATCTATCCTTCTCATAACTGTTTGAACACATTTTATTGGCAGGACTGTATTAAGTTATAGTGTAGCCAAAGCATTCAAATGTATTTATAATGTATACATTGCAATATACATATATTACACTGCACCAATGTATACAATTTAAACAAATTTGAAAGCTTTGGTAACACTATAACTTAATATATATGCTCTCTCTCACTTTCTCACTCCCCCTCTGGACAGCAGGGCCTGCATCTCTCCAGCTGCTCCCTCTCTCTTTCCCTTTCCTCTCTCTCTGTGTGTACTGCCTTCTGCCCTGCTCATTCTCTCTGCAGAAGCAGGGAACAGGCCGTTTCCACTGGCGGTCTAGTCTACTGCCTGGTGGGCAAGGTTAGCCCGCTGCACCTCTGTAATCCTTCAGTGAAATGGGCTTTATTGATCGCCCTGCTCCATTGTTCACGTTTCCAGTGAGTGAGCAAAGAGCACTCCTCTCCCTCCCTCTCATGCTCCCTCTCTCCCTCCCTCTTGTGCTCCCTCTCTCCGATCTCCCATACCCTCCCCTCCCTCCAAGTTCAAGTTCATCCTGGTGTTACATCATGTCTGGTTGCCAGGGACAACCAGACAGCCGTATACGTGACTATCATTAGAAAGGCCGTGGCTCTTGCCATCTTTCTTTCTTCCTGTCCCCTTCTCGCTCTCTTTTTTATCCCTCTTTCCCAGCTCCTTCCCATCCCTTTATCACTTTTCTCTCGCTGGCCGGTGTTCCAGACTCATCCACCCAGCCCAGGCCTGGTGAAATAACTGCGCATGGGCACACACTATTGATTCACAGAATTACACACACACAAACACTCTCTCTCTCTTGCTCTCTTTCCTTCTGTCGCCTAGTCATTACTACATACACATACACACACACACACACACACACACACACCCCATCCACCTATCCAAAGGCAGACTTCATTACACTTGCAAACTTTGTAGCCAATCAGTGTGAAGTTAAGAGAAGGCTTAATTTTGGAGTGAACACTGAATTTGATGACTGCTGACAAATGCGTAAAACAAATTTCAACAATAATGCTTTTATAATGTCAAATAAGGGGCTCTAGAATGTCTAATAGTGGCCCTAGAATGTCAGTGAGTGGTTCTAGAATGCAATGGAGTCATGATAAGTGTCTATAAGTGGTTCTAGAACATCAATGAGTGGTTCTAAAATGTCATTGAGTGGTTCTAGAATGCCAGTGAGTGATAACAGAATATCAGTGGGTGCTTTCAGAATGTCAGTGAGTGACTCTAGAATATCAGTGAGTGGTTCTATAATATCTGTGTGTGGATCTAGACTGCCAGTGAGTGGTTCTAGAATGTAACTGAATAGTTTCAGAATGTCAGTGAGTGGCTCTAGAATATCAGTGAGTGGTTCTATAATATCTGTGTGTGGATCTAGACTGCCAGTGAGTGGTTCTAGAATGTAACTGAATAGTTTCAGAATGTCAGTGAGTGGCTCTAGAATGTCAGTGAGTTGTTCTACAGTGTCAGGGAGTTGTTATTCTAGAATGCCAGTGAGCGGTGTAGAATGTCAGAAGGTTGATCCAGAATGCCAGTGAGTGGTGTAGAATCTCAGCAAGTGGTTCTAGAATGCAAGATGGTTCTAGAAGGTTGGCAGTATCCTGTATATACACACACGCGCCCGCGCACTCACAGACTGAGCGGGGGGCTCATGACTTGTTTAAATTCTCAGGCTGGCCGAGAGTGCGGTGGAGAGAGTGGAAGGTTAGTTTTTAATCAATAGAAGTTGCTGACTCGGGACTTCTGCTCTCAGCCTCACTGCAGCTTCCTTGTGTCTTTGTCTAGCAGCCCGTCTGCTCTCAAACTCAATCCCCCACCCCACTCTCTCTCTCTCTCTCTCTCTCTCTCTCCTTCCCTCCCTCCTTCTTTCCCCCTTGTCCTGAGAAGACTTCTGGAGATGGGGTTCTGCAGGCAGAGAGAGAGAAAGAAAAAAAAAGCAAGAAAGAGGGAGAAAGAAGGAGAAAGAGATTGGGAGGGGGTAGAAATACAGATACGGGGGAGAGAGTGAGAGAAAGAAAGAGAAGAGGGGGATAGAATAAGCGTGAAAGGTTGTCTCCCATATTTCCCCTGTAAGTGTGCAGACAGTGGGGTAGTGTTACAGCCCGGCACAGTGTGCTGACAGGTATGATTTAGTCAGCAGATATGCGAGAGAGAGAGAGAAAGAGAGAGAGAGAGAGAGAGAGAGAGAGACTGCAAATGGTGTGAAATTACTGCGCTGTCTTTTCTCATTTTTGGTAATGATGAGGTTTTGTCTGTCTTTTTGTAAGCAAAGCACTAACACATGCAACATGATCAAAGTCAAAATGAGCAAAGGCACAGAAAAAGTGACAAAGTGCCAACCCAATGAATTGGCTTTAACTTTCCCACAAAAAAGCCTTATAAAAAGCCCTGTATAAGAGAGCTACAGCACAGTTGAAGAATTTAAGTGGTTTTACACGCGTGCAAGTACACCCAGTCTCTCCTCCCTCTCTCCCTCTCTCTGGTAGCAGCTCCAGCTCATTGCCGTGATTAGGAGCAGAAACATAAGCGTCTCTCTCGGCCACATGTGCAGCGCAGAGTGTGCTGTGCTGAGCTCCAGGAGCCCACAGTGTGGTGTGTCTCACAGCCACAGGAATGCTCCACACACACACTCCACCACCCCAGGCTCAGATGATCCCTTCCATGTGTGCTGCTGAAAGACACTGCTCCCTTTAGTGCTGATCTGAGAGAAGTTTGATCAGGATCATGATTATCGGCACCAGACCCTGCAAGCTTGTGTGCTGCACTGTTGTGCTTTCTCTGCTCCAACACACCTGATTCAACTCAACAGGTAATATCGAAACTTTCAGTTTAGATCTATAATCAGGCCTGTATTTGGGTTGAACCAGAATGTAGCTCGAAAACTTTCCACCCAAGTCTGAACCAGGCCGTATCTCAGCGTAGGGCCCAACAAAATGCTGCTTGAACTTGTCACGATCAGCTGTTATCGGTTGTATCAAGTCGTTTTTAGTTTGTTTCGTCAGTACAGCACATAGTTACAAATCCGTTATCATGATTGTTTTGTTTATGATTTTGTCACCATTTCTGGTGTATCAAGTGTACTGAAGTGGGGCATATGGGTGGAGTTAGCAATATTACAAATCATTGGGTGGTCAAACATATCCATCACAGACTTGTCATGTGCTGTCACTTGTAAGAAAACCACCAATTGTAAAAAACACTAGCCAGCCAGAATCTCTTCACATAAAACCTGTGATGAATGAGCACTAGATTTATTAAGTTTATAGGAACCAGAGCTCAGATCAGTAACCGTTCTGTGCCATACCACACTGCCCAGTGGGACAATGCCTTTATTCACTTTCATTTTCACATGGTTATTACAAATATTGACTGAAAGGCTGCCCCTTTCTCCTGTGTATACACACATTGGCTTAGTGGCCCTCACTGCCAACTACATTTAAATCCAGTGTGCCAATTTAAAATTGTTAAGAGGGACGAAGAATAGGCAGAAAAACTGGTAAATGCAGGCCAAAATGTTCAGTGATAGGCATGCAAAATCTTAACCCAACCTGAGCCCAACAAATATTTTGATGTCTAAACCAGAATAGTCTGGTCCGGTCAGGAAGCAGTTTCATGTGTTTGGGTAGGATTAAGGAGCTTTCACGTGTGTAAGTGTAAAAGAAGATGAGACTCTAGAATTAATTATCAATCCCATCTAGAACTGCAACTATTGATTATTTGTTTATTAAAGATTAAACTATCGGCTGTTATTTAATTAACTGACTAATCTATGATGTTTTCTTCTCTCTTTGTTGTTGCCGTTATTCAACTTGCTGTCTGTGGAGCCAGTTTTTTTCTTTGATTTTGCAATGAAACAATAGAAGTCACATGAGCCTTTGGCGTAACGCAGTCAGAATGACCGCGTTTCATATAAACATTATAGAGCATTACAGTGTGCTTTAGCTCAGTAAGCAGCACACTGACAACCAGACACTGTTTTGACATTTCTGACAGATATTTTTTCATAATTGATGCTGTCAACTTTGTTGACTAATTGCTACAGCCCTAATCCCGTCATGAGCTGAACTGGAAAAAGCCAGAACAGAGGACACAAATCTTTGCATTCAAGTGTGACGTCCCTGCTCTAAAGGTAGCAACGGGGCAATAAGCAGCCCTGCTGCGCTGAGAAACAGCTGAATCTGACCTCCATAGAAGGACAGTAAGCCACAGGGAAGACAGCAGAGGCCAACAAAGCTCTCAGCTCTAACCATAAAACACCAGCGTCGATTCTGCTCCTGCTATGGAGAGGGGAAGGAAAGCAGCACAGTTTAGCTTTGGCAGTGTGATGGAAATGGAGCGGGAGACCACATGGCCGAAACACAGCCTGCAGCAGCCTGGGGTCTTTACGGCCAGCAGAGAGAGAGAGAAAGAGAGAGAGAGAGATACAAACCGCAGTGAGATCCTGTACCTAGCCTGGTTTCTCCACACTTACTAAAGAGAAGCAGCAGC